TGGTCCAACTCTCCAATGAAGCCATCTGGGCTGGGGCATTTTTGTATTGGGAGTTTTTTTATGATCTTTTGAATTTCTTCTTTTGTTATGGGTCTGTTTAAATTCTCTACTTCAGTTTGTGTTAGTATAGATAGGTAGTGTGTTTCTAGAAATTTGTCCATTTCTTTTAGGCTTTCAAATTTGTTGGAGTACAGTTTTTCACAATATTCTGGTATGATTCTTTTTATCTCAGTTCGTTTTGTTATAATGTCACCCATCTCATTTGTTATTTTGGTTATTTGCATCTTCTCATTCTTTTCCTTTGTCAGTTTGGCCAGTGGATTGTCTATTTTATTGATCCAGTCAGAGAACCAGCTTCTATTCTTGTTGATTCCTTCTATTGTTTTTTTGTTTTCTATTTCATTTATTCCTGCTCTAATCTTTGTTATTGCCTTTTTTCTGGTGACTGTGGGCTTCTTTTGCTGCTCTTTTTCTATTTGTTCGAGCTGTAGGGTTAAGCTATTGATTATGGCCCTTTCTTCTTTTTTTACGTATGCGTTTATTGCTATAAATTCTCCTCTGAGCATTGCTTTTGTTGTGTCCCACAGGTTTTGGTATGTTGTGTTTTCATTCTCATTTGATTATAGGAACTTTTTTATTTCATTTTTTAATTTCTTCTATTACCCAGTGGTATTTAAACAAGATACTCAGTTTCCATGTATTTGATTTTGTTCCTCTGTTCTTTCTGTTACTGATTTCTGGTTTTATAGCATTGTGGTCAGAGAAAATGCTTTGTATTATTTTGATGTTTTTGAGTTTATTGAGGTTTGCTTTGTGGCCAAAAATCTGGTCAGTTCTGGAGAATGATCCTTGCACATTGGAAAAGAATGTATACTGTGCTGCTGTTGGGTGGAATGTTCTGTATATGTCTGTGAGGTCAAGTTGGTTGTTTTATTTATCTTCTGCATCTTTGTTTAGTTTGTTTGTTCTGTCCTTCATCAAAAGTGGTGTCTTAAAGTCTACTATTATTGTGGAACTGTCAATTTCTCTTTCCAATGCTGTTACAGTTTATGTATTTTGGAGCTCTGTCATTGGGTGTGTAGATACTATGGTTATGTCTTCTTGGTAGATGATCCCTTTAATCGTCATATGATGCCCTCCTTGTCTGTTGTGATGGATTTTGATTTAAAGTCTGTCCTATCAGAGATTAATGTTGCCACTCCTGCTCTTTTTTGGTTACTGTTTCCATGACATATTTTTCCCCATCCTTTGATTTTTAACCTATTTATGTCTTTGTGTCTAAGGTGTGTCTCTTATAGGCAACATATCGATGGGTTGTGTTTTTTTTAATCCATTCTGCCACTCTTTATCCCTTGACTGGTGCATTTAAACCATTTATATTCAGTGTGATTATCAATAGGTGTGAATTTACTATTGTCATATTGTTATGCTTTTTGTTGTGGTGTTGCCGTTCTCTTTGTTCTCTTAATGTTCTGTGCTGAGTTCTTTTATGTATTTTCTTTTCACCTCCCTCATTGGTGATTTTGTGTTTACTGAGTCTTTATGGTTTTCTTCTTTATTTTGGTGAGTAGGTTTATTCACTTTCTTTCTGGTTACTCTGACATTTACCTTTATCTTCCTAAGTTTAGAACAGTCTGGTATTTCTTTATATTGCCATGACTTCCTCTTCATATGGAAGTTCTGTGTCTATACATTTCTCCATTTTTGTTTTGAAGTTATTGTTGTTTACAGATTGACATCTCTGGCTCCCTGTTTTCAGTTCTGTAGCTTTATTTTACTTTTGAGATTTCTGTCTGGGTTGGCATCTTGGTGATGCCATTGTGTGGCTTACTCTCAGGTTGTTGTCTGATGTTGTTCGTTTTCTATTCGAAGGACTCCCTTTTTTTTTTTAATTGTACTTCAGGAAAGGCTTACAGAACAAATAGTTTCTC